ATCATGGTCGCTGCACCATCGTACACCAGTGCCATTAGGGTACCGGTAAGCGTGCCATTAAATCCCACGATAATAAATAATAATAACACCAGCGCCGGATCGCCGACCATGGTCAGTCCGTAGAAGTAAAACGTTACTAACAGGGATAGTACCGACTGTGCCACCACATGCGCTCCGTGTACCAACAACTGAGTGATCAAGATCTCGAGGGGTTGGACACCAGCGCATATATCCCTATCCAGGGTTACCATAAGCCGTTCGCCCAACAAAGCAAACGCCTGACTAATCATAGGCAGAATGTACTGAATCTGTATGAGCAGTGGCGGCGCCGCGTAGTCCCGGTAATACTGAGCGCCACCCGACCCGTGCGTGATATGAGTGCTAATCGGTAAGCCGTAAGCCAGTGGGTTGTGGCCAATGTGTTTGGTGTAATTGAGCATAAATTTGTGATATGTCTGAACGAGATATAACTGGGCAAAAGTGGCCAACACCTGATCGGACGCGTCGACCGCCGCGCGTATCTCACTGTCCGCCAGATCATCGCCGCTGACCCGTAACGGGTCGGCGAGTTTGGCGGTCAGAGCGTTGTTGAAATCCGGCCCAAATTTCAGAGCTATTCGCGCCCGACCCTCGACTACTGCCTGAACCGCCGTTTCGTTGGACGGGTAGTGAACGACCCGTAACTGCTGGCTATCTATTGTGTCTATAAATTGTTTGGCTAACTCGCCGTCCGGGTCGGCGTTGTATATTGCGACGGGTATGCGGTTCGGGTCCCGGCCCATCACCCACACCAAAATTGTGATCGTTGATAATACATTCATATAGTATATAAATAAATATAGTAAGTTACCACGTGTTTGTAGCCATGCTTTCCATAACAGGGTCCGCACACGTCGCCAGTTTACACAAATTGATTGAACATCCGTATTGGGTAGGTGTGCTGTGGTCATACTATCATGATGTGTGTTGTTATTTATGTGGGCGATTATATCTCGTTGATTAAAAGCAAGTTTATAATACACCTCCTCTAATGTGTTGCATTGGTATTGCTGTTGTAATTTAGTGGGGTTAGATTGGGCCAGTAGTTTGCCTTCGTAAATAAAGCCCACTGTATGCGCTCCCTGTGCCTCCTCTATATAATGTGTGGTGATTATTACTGTTTGATCTAAAATAATAAAATATGGTTTGTTAAAAATATGACTAAATGACATCGACATTATTATGAGCTTTTGTAAACACTAAAATATGATAAAAATAATAGATATACTTTTATATATTACAAGCTGTAATACCATTGCATGATTGTAGATTAACATAACTATTTCGAATTAGTTAGTTTAATTTGGTGTAAACGTACTCCTCTTATGTTTTTTCAATTATCCTCATAAATAAAAAATTATTTACTATAAAATAGGTAAACTTGATATTTATTTTTAATAATGATAGTAAATTAACTATTATGAAAATTCATATTATTTTAGTTGCATAGAGCTTAAAATATGTCTAGAACAAGTAAACATTTTACCTTTATTGTTTTGGCACAAGTCTAGCAAATGTTGCCAAATGCGGTACCGGATCAGTGAGTCTACGCCCACAGTTGGCTCGTCCAGCATAAGCAGTGCCGGCGTGTGAATCATCGTTACGGCGATCGACACCAACCGCTGTTGGCCACCACTGAGCCGACACACTGGGCGTCCACTCGTGTCCGGTATGTTCAACAGTGCCCTCAACTCTAGTATCCTGTGCTGTATTTCCTGACCGTCAGTCATGCCATAGAGTTGGCCGTAATATTGCAGCGTTTCGTCTACAGTAAACTCTCCGTAAAGTGCGGTCTCTTGTGGCATATAACCAATGGAGTTTAATGAGCTAGGTGATTTGCCATGATTATTGATGTTGGTGTGAATTGTGCCCAATGTTGGTCGTAATCGTCTAAGTATAAGCTTTAGCAAGGTTGTTTTTCCACACCCGTTTGGACCCAAAAGGGCAAATATTTCTCCTTTCTTAATATGAGCGCAAAAGTTGTTAATTAGATGAGCATTAGTTGAATAGCCGTAGCAAACATTTTGCATCTGGATTGAAATTGATGCATTATTACCAACGTGATCACTATTTACCAGCATTTTATTTTATTTATTTAAATATATTTAATTATTTGATTTTATAACCATTCAAAATAATTATGCTAAAATATACCAATTTAAATCATATAATATAAACACAACTTAATCAATCATTGTAAGCCATTTTATAATTTTGATTGATAATAGGATGTTTTGTATACATGCATTTACTTGGCAATGAAATTGACAACAATAATAATTGTTTACCTTGATATAAAAGAGTATTATAAAGATATAATTAGTGCAAAATTATCATAAAAAGTGGTTTATAATATTTTCATTTTCACGTCATTATGTTTCATTTTATATACCGTAAAATTCCGCACATAATTGCTTGCAATAATAATGCATATTTATTTGTTTAAAATACATTTTAAAAATTCAATAAAATTTTATGCAATATTTTTCACATATAAATTAATTTTAATTAAAATCATGTTAAATGAATGCCAATTAATTTACAGATTTACATACATAGTTGTATATATTTTCCTATTTATATTTATTTGTTTTTAATAATATTACACCATTCAAAATTAAAATGCAAATTATTGATAAAAACAAATTTAATTATCACATGGTTATAAAGCGTTTAAATCACATATTTATAATAATAATTTACTGAATTTATTATTAATATTAATATAACATAATAAAATATTTATTAAAATTAATATTTGAATTATAATATTTGTGCACTTGTATAATAATATATAGTTTATAGTTTGTGTACTAAAACAATGCTCATAAATAATAATGCTGTAATGTAAATTATGTTTGTGATAACACCTAACCATACAGATGTAGCCAATATTGTGGCCCCTTTGAACATGATTGCCCGCAAACTACCGATGGTCAATGTTTGGGGAGCGCATACACTAATGTAGTACATCCAGTCTGGCATTGCCTCTATGGGCCAATTGTTGCCCGATATTAATATTTGTGTCAAAAATGTGCTCGCTACAAACATCTATATAAGCATAAAATAAGATATTAAAATTATATCTTGTCATTATTTAAAATAGCTTAAAATTTTAATGTAAATAATTATAAAACTAAATATTTGTATTTACCACCAAGGTGGATTCTCGATTACACACCAGGGCCAGTACAGTGCCGGTTAGCATACCATTTAAGCCTTCCATAATAAATAACGATAATACCAGCACCGGATCTCCCATCATAGGAAAACCATATATGTTAAATGCTAACAACAGAGTCAGTACCGCCTGAACCACCACATGTGCTCCATAGACCAGCCCGTGCGTGAGCAAGATTTCTAGGGGCCGGACACCGGCGCACAGTTCCCTGTCCATGGTCACTTTAAGACGTTCACCCAGCATAGCAAATGCCGGCGCAACCATAGCCATAGTGTACTGGAGCTGTATTAACAGTGGGGGCGCCACAAAGTCCCGATAGGACTGAGCCCCACCGCCAAACATATAGCTAGTCTGCACCGGTAGGCCATAGGCAAGTGAGTTATGGCCTAACCCTGCGCTGTAATTGGCCATAAAGCGGCCGTACGTCTGAACGAGGTATAACTGGGCGAACGCGCCGACCACCTGATCAGACATGTCGGCCACCACTCGCACCTGACTGTCCTCCAGGTCATCGTCGCTGACTCGCAACGGGTCGGCGAGTTTGGCGGCCAAAGCGTTGCTAAAATCCGACCCAAACTCCAGTGCCATACGCGCCCGACCCGCGACCACCGCCTCAACGGCCGACTCGTTGGACGGGTAGTAAACGGCCTGTAATTGTTGGCTGTCTATAGTGTCGATGAATTGCTGGGCTAACTGGCCATCGGTGTCGGCGCTGTATAAAGCGACGGGTATGCGGTGGGGCTCACGACCCATCACAAAGGCCAGGATTGTTATGCAAACCATGATGTTTAAGTAGTATATTAATAGGTAGGGCAGGTTACCACGTGCTCTTAGCCATGTTTTCCATAGCAGGGCCCGCACACGAC